TGGGTTACCGGATGTAGTTCTTAAGTCGGAATATCTCTTCCATGTCTTTGCGTTCACTGTTGTCCTGCTGGCATTGCGCTGAGATTGCGAGCATCCATCAGTAAGGCCTGAATGGTGGCTTGGATAACAAAAAGTGCATATGCCACGCCCAGCTAACACACACTGGCATGCTCAAAGACTCGCATTCCGACACGGTGACATACACACGCACCAGAAGAGAAAGCGCAGATTATCCACTGTGATCAGTGATATGCCAAAGAGCCCGGTAGTGGTTATGGTGTGCCTGTCCTGATTTGACCATGCAGGTCACATGACTCACATCATGGTCGCATGACTCACATCTTGACCCCTACAGGCACCGTAGCCCACTACAGGGCTCTTCACTCAAAGGGCAAACCCACCTGTATGGGAATATGCCCATCGAAACATACCATGCATTTAAAATGTGCCTCGATTGTGCCCGGGAGACCAGAGATGCTCGTGAGTTTATCCGTCAAGACAAGTAACAGCGTTTCAGTCAGAGGAGCGACTATGATTTTTTTGCTTCAACAGTCTGGTCACACTGCATCCTTTTGGCAAGAACATGACCTTTTGATTTTCCGTATCAATGGTCACCGGGTCACTAGCTGCTCAGAATCTTACCATACAAGCCTGCGGCATCTCGGGTTTTGGAATGTATCCATTTGGTGCGTGTATGTGTTCGCATTTACCCGACCTTCCACACGGCGATGCCATGACCCAATGTCATCAACATGCACTGTATCACAAATGTGATACGCGACACCATGCAACATAACCTCATAACGACATTGTGCGGTATGACCAATTCTTTTGGCCTGCATACGTCTTACTTGCAGACCCATTTCAACATGCGTCGCAAGGGCGGGGAAGAGAGGACATCTTCGAACTGGGAAAAGCAAATTTAGAAACTCCAGTGTTCGGACATTGCACCAGAACACCGAATGATGTAGTCGTTAGTGCCCACTGGCACAGGGTGTCTTCACCGAAATGGTGTCGCAGCTGCACACGTACAGCATTTACTAGCCTCGCGAAGCAGCAACGTGGTCGATCGATCAACAGGACCAGCAGTGGCAGGGTAGAGATGTGTTCACACGCACGCAGAAAGAACGGAAGAAAAGCAAATCATAAAAACGTAACAAAAGCATAAAATCATAGAGAGGGTGAACACACTCGTGACCACAAATCTACCACCACCACTGCAGTCATAATTCAAAATGTTTCCAATCTGTAGACAAGAGTTTCGGAGTCAGCAGTTTTAACCGGTATAGCTACAAGGATACTCATTAGCTATCGAACGAGTGTTTGAACAAATCCTCTCTTTCCCTTTCGTTGTGTACCTTGCGATCATCGTATGGTTAACCGTTTTGAATCTGCGTGAGAATCGTTCTGTTCAGCGACAACACTACAAAGTGTTGACCACCACATGCACAGTGACCACATCAACTGGTCTGTGAGTGAGGGTGAACAGTACGCAAAGACAATAGTACAGTGAGCACCAAGCACATGCCGTGGGACACGAATGAACACGCAAAGAGTCATGATCGATTAGTGATCGGCAACATCACAAATTGACAGACGGCCTTTTCGCTTATATTGAGTGCCACGTGTATTGCTCTACTACAGTCCGCACGACCGAAACTAACCTCGAACAGTCGAAGTGGTTCGGTCCAGATGTAACTGATGGTAGGAGAACCCGCTTTCCAGCAACGTTATGGTTGATTGGTGAAGGTAGCGTGGATCCGAAAAAGTGCCACAATCCCATAAAGAATGGCGGACAGCAGCTACGAACCCTGGCGCGTGACGAAACAGGACTAACGCAATTTCACTCGAGAGGATGCTGCCTGTCCAAAGGCAGCCTGTTTCCGAGTTGGCCCTGGACGAGCGATAAAGAGAACCATATTATTGGTAAGCAGAATACATCGCAAGATGACTATCACTTCCGATAGCTCGCAGTGACCTCAAATATACCGATACAAGGTGAAAAGTAGAAAACGTCAAACATGAAAAGATCTTTCACTTCACAAGTGCTTCACGAAAGAACCTCGGGAAAATCCAGACTTACCGAAACGGCAAGGCACGAAGACGACCACGATGCTTCGTCTCATGGATTGCGCGGTCCAGACGTGAAAGGCCTATCAAATATTACTCCCTACTTCTTGCTTGATCCAAGCCCGAGCGGGAGCCATGTGGCGAACGATCCGCCGAATCATGGAGTCAAAGCCAAGGCAACACCAGTGGATGGGCGGAATGTTGTCAAGGCCAATCGGCTCTTGCTGGAATCCTTTGGAGCGAAGGTAGGTCTGGTAGCTTCCAGCCCGTCCTCTTCTCTGCTGCGTATCAGGACCATGGTCGTTTCGTTGTCGGAGAATGACCAAGGGGAGAAACGGCTAGCGGCTAGCAGTACTACTACATGTAGTCTCTATCTGAAACAGGCAAACAGTGCAGAGCACATGGTAAAGAGAAAAGCAAGACCAAAATCAGCCGTAAACCCTCAAAATGGTAGGAAGCATGAGAATGATAAAAATAATATCTGTTGCGATGTCGGACGCAAGTGCGCTAACCAACAAATTTCAACCACGCGTAAAGTGCATATCAAACCAAACCACAATCTTGGAAAGGAAACAATTGGAAGATACAAATAAAATTATACAAACGACGCTATTTGCCTTTTACATTCCATTTCTACTGAGCACATTTCGGGGGAAAGCAAACACTCACCATTTCTTTCCCGAAATAATTTGTCTCTTTGCTTGCTAGTGCCGGTCATAAAAGAAAAGCCTGTCACAGGCCAAGTGGTCTGCCAAACCATGCTGCAAAATTGTTATACCGCCGCCAGTTGACCAGGAGAAAGCGAAGGCCAAACGAGAAAGGAGCCGCAAATGGCTTCCCTCTTCAAGGAAAAAGAACATCAACAACGACCACGAGGAAGACGACCGCTTTGCAGGGCTGTTAGCGGGAGCATGCGCATTAGCCTTTTTTTAATCACATGCTTATCGCTGATTGGTTGAGCGATGCGACGTGAATTATGTGCAGATGCAACTGTTTGGTTTGTGGAGTGTTTTGGCGCGCTATACCTGACCTTTGGACTCTTTGATATCAGAATACTGATCAAATATTAGAACAGATGGGTGCGGAGTAGAACTACGTCGAAGATCGGGCTTTGGCAAGTAAAAGTTGGGTTTCACCGCCAAGCACAAAGATAAATGCGGATATACACTAAAGGTTCCTGGTTCTGGTTCCAGGGAGTCGTCTGAGTCGAGTCATGGTCAAGGAGTCAAATCCAACGGCTCACATGAAAAACCAACGCGTTACGGATCCAATTATGTACCGGTACTGTTGCCGGAAACCAGATAGGTATGATGAAGCTGTTGTAGTACTACGCGTCCACGGTATTTGCAGACACGAGTGTTCAGATGAGGATGGATGGCTGCCGCAATTTTGACACAGCCCTCGGCACAACTCAATTCGTCGAGGAGTACCTGGCTGACAGAGTTAGCAGATTCTTTAGGTAACTGAGCGGGCAGTGAGTTTGCCGAGTCCGACGGAGTAGCAGGCAGCCTACCATGCTTTAGTGAATGAAGTACAAAGTAAATCATAGAGGCATTTCTTTGCCTGGCGGTTGGGGATGCTGTAGCAGCTTTCCAACCATTGGAAGAGGCAATTCACCGTAAGCTGCTACCGACTTTACCAAAGTACAATGGAGAGGAGTCTGGACAATTATTTCTTTCCCATACCCATGATATAGTGGCTTAGGCATCGTGAAACCCAACCGTGATCCCTTCCAGTGTCTGCTCCAGAGCAGAGCTGGGATGCACATGCAGTAGCCGCATTTGACCGTACCCAGCTCTGACCCGGTTGGAAGAGTTGTGCCAGGTACACGTGTACCCAGTTGATTTGAAATCCTAGCCGAGCAGACATTGCCTTCATAGCAAGTATATCCCACAAAGGCTGCATGAGACTTGTATTGCTGCACGTCAGTCTGGCTCACAAGCCCTACTTGGTGATTGTTTGCGGCCTGCATTCGTTCTACGAAACGAGAACTATCTGCAACAGCCAACCGTGAACACGGCACTAAAAGCAAGCCACAGAGTTGGGTTTCTTTGCTGCAGCAGAGCTATCATCATATCCTGGTCAATTGGCCACACAGCCTGGAGCTTCCAGGCTTCCAGGTGGCTGACTTGCTGCCAAAAGCACACAGCGCATTGACGAAGGGTGAGCAGACACTGTAATAGTAATAACCCGGCCGGGAAGATCCCCAGATGTTCCCGTTTCTGAAGCATGGCTTGTTGGCAATTTGCTAACTTTTAAATTAACACAAGTAACAAGTACAGACAGGTAGTACTGGATCCACTGCAAACTGGGCCTTGCTCTTGGCCACAGCCCGTCACTGTGGGCAGATACTTTGCCGTTTGTACTCAGCGCAGGCAGGGAGTTGTCAAATTCATGTAGATCGTCATGCACAATTGCAGTTTGACCATCAATGATGACTCCTAGATCCCACCGCCACCGGCACCGGCGCTCCTACTTGTAAGTTAGTAAGTTAGTAATCTGTAAGTTAGTTGTAGATCGGATCATCCTGGATCTACAACTAACTTAGTACAAGTCCTGGGTCATACAAGGCTGCATCCTGTAGACTCTGTCACTTCCTTATCGAGTTATTATCATGACCGACCACTGGCACTGGACTGACGTCAGTCAATAATTATAAATACACAGAGTGAGAGACATTATTTTCAAAACGGTTTGAGGTTTGAGTCTGTAGACGAGTGTACAATGTAGTAGCAGGGAGTCGTCAAATACCGGTATTTGACGACTCCCTGACCCTGGTCTGTAGTGTAGCACCTGGATCATATCATGTGGGTAGCGCGCGGCGGAGTCATACTGAAAATATGATTGTCACGTGTAGATCTACGTGTGTGTTTTTGTCAGCTGAATCAGTGAATTATTTTGAAAAGACTTTCTTTGTAAAGCTTTCCCTAGGCCCTTTGCTGCTATGCTGAAAGTGACATGGCCCTTGTCGTTTTTGGACGTACCGGTGGACTAGACCTGGCCGGCTGCAGGCTGCTTGTTTTGTGTTTCTCTTCGGCAGTCACGAACTGAGCCGCGAGGATTCTGGCCACACCGCAACTGTTGCTGCTGTTGTAGGCTGAGCTAGCTGTGGATACTGAATGTTTCTGAGAGACTTTCGAACAGCTAAAAATCATGGTACGTGTGTGTAGCTGCCCCAGTCCATGGCAATGGTAATGTCTAAATGATGTGAGGTGCACGCCTTTGGGTGAGCGTGGAAGGTAAATAATCCGACCTTTTCAGAGAACCGGTGCGTTGACTCAGACCGTGGCGGGGGCGGGAACGCTTGCGATCATGCGTCCAAGGACTTAGGACTAAGTTAGGTTATAATCACGCCTGTTCGTCACATTTCTGTTCCGCCAGAAGCGTCACGCAGTGAGACCTTTCCGGATAATTCCAAATTAATTATAAAGATTATTCATCTGTTTGATGGAATGAAACTTTGAGGGAAAGAAAGTGTCGGAAAAAAACTGACTGTCCCCGCAAGGACTCGAACCAGGGACCTTTGACTTTGCTGAAGGCTGGCGGTGTTCTAACCACTGAGGTACAATTGCAGGGTGTACGGTGTAATAATTATTTTCGGTGTAAAAAAACTCTGACGAACCAACGCGTGAAATTCTTGTCCGGATTTGGCAATTTATGTGGTCTAGAGGTTTTGCGATTACCGTAAAATCCCGCAAGAGCGCCCCTACCTCCTCGACGCTTCGAGTAGGTTCAGGTGGGGAGAGACGGATGGGCGAGTCCTACTTGTCGCATTCAGTACTACATGAAAAAGTACTCGCCCTACGAAAACTGTTTGTGCATCTCGTACACCGACCAAAGGTCAAGAGCCAGGAGTCGTACAGGCCCGTCAAAACTCAGGGTTTGTGCGATCCCTTGGTCAAGAGGGTGGGCACTGTTGCGTACATTTCCAACGGGGCCGAGCATGCGTCTGCAGTACAGTACGGCATCACAGAGTCATACCAGGATACAATCAATCACTTCCCTGACAAGAAGTCAGGGAGGGCAGTGTCTGCTCTCGGATTGTAGGACAGCCGGGTACACGTGTACCTGGCGCAACCATTTCAACTGGGTCGGAGCCGGGTACACATGTACCTGGCGCTGTCTCACCAGCCCAGTCACATGCTTTAACTGGTTCGTTGGTTTATTCGGACAATAAACGGGAACTAGGCCCAATGATATAAAGGCGAATGGATAAGCCGCATTTAGAAAAGAGAGGACAAGAATTAGAAAATTACGAAAGAAGAAGAAGTATCTGACACATACTTGTACAAGCCATGTAGTCAGTCCTTTCAAAGTTCGAAAGTGTAAAGTACCAACCGGGTAACAGGTGACCCGGTACTATATTTTCAACCGGGTCCAAGCGCCGCCCAACCGGGTGGATTACCCGGCTCACCCGGCGCTGGAGCAGACACTGGAGGGACGGATGGGAGAGACTGGCGGGATGTTACGGTACATCATCAGCAGAGTTTTATTTTTTATTTTTTACTATGTTCACATACCCAGCTCGAAAAGAATAAAGAAAGACAATGGTACTGAGACTAGGACAAACGTGACAACTAATGAGCAGGCGCTGCACGGCGACGCAGCAGTGATGGTGGGGCATTGATGCTTTGGCGGAGTCGCGGCACAGCGCTGCACTTGCACTAGCGACTCACGCTGCATACATAGCGACCATTAGAAAATCCGCTGAGGCGCTGACTCACCTCATGACATCATTCGCATAGCCTCTTTGCTGGCCTCAAGCGAAGGTCCCCTGGTTCGAGTCCTGGTGGTGACAGTCAAAAATATTCTTCAGACTTTTCCTGTTTTCATCTTTTCCCTCAAACCAATGAATAACCTCTAATGTTAGGAGTTGTCGCAAACGTTTTCCGTCGTCCCTGAAACGAACATCGTTCATTTCGTGCTCAGACCCCCTCCTCTCCCTCTGAAACGAACGCAGCTTGCTATGCTGGACGACGAAAATCGCATGCATATACATGCCATATGTACAGTGTCGGTCGACTTGCGATTTCGGCTCGCACCCCCCCCCCCCCCCCCAACGAATGATGCTCATTTCAGGGACGACAAAACAAACTTTTGCAACGACCCCGTATACCGTACGGTAGGCGTACCTGGCAGAGCTCTTGCAACCGGGTCAGAGCCATGGTACCGTATTTCCCCGATTGTGAGTCGCACCTTTTTACACTAAACTTCAAGGGCAAAGAAGGGGGTGCGACTTACAATCGAGTGTGATTTCTTACTTATGTGAATGCATTGAGACGATTTCGTTCGGACGTGAGATTGGGCTGCGACTTATAGTCGAGTGTGACTTATAATTGTGGAAATACGGTACGTAACGTTGTTCAAGTGTTGTTACTGCATGTACATCAGAGAGTTGTAAATATTTTATTACTCCCTGATGTACATTGAGTAGTAAAAATGCTACTCAACTGGGCTGACGGCTGATCCCAAACAGACCTTTGGCACAGTACCCAGCAAAAGCGACTGTCGGAATGTGGTATGCCTACGCTATGGGTTAAAACATTTCAGGACTTGCCCACCTCTTGCGCCTGCAGTCAGCCACCGAACATCCATCATGCGCTGACATGCCCATGTGGTGGATACCCGTCAGCTTGCCATGACAACGTGCGGGATGTGATGACTGAGGCCATGGCGGAGGTCTGCAGAGACGTTAAAAGTCAGATCCCATGCTAACACCATTGTCCCGTGTGTGTGTGTGTGTGTGTCCGTGTGTGTGTGTGTCCTGTGTGTGTGTGTCCTGTGTGTGTGTGTGTGTGTGTGTGTGTGTGTGTGTGTGTGCGTGCGTGTGTGTGTGTGTGTCCGTGTGTCCTGTGTGTGTGTGTGTGTGTGTCCTGTGTGTGCATGTGTGTGTGCTAATGCTTTTTCCGGTTTAGGACGGAGAGCGTGCACACTTGATGCGTAATGATGGCGGAGAGGCGCTGAAGAGAAAACAACGCAGGTATATTTTATTTTATTTTTATTCTTATTTTACTAGGGAATTCCCAACAGGCGTCATCGCCTTCCTACAGGGAACCCTAAGAACGTCTTGATGGATGATCGAAATTCATCAGGTGAATTCGAAAGGCGGTAAGCAGGTGGCAAAAAAAAAAAAAAAGTAAGTCAGCATGTGGCAGTGCATTCCACCGGTCAGCGCCCAGGTATATAAGTTATAGGGGTTCGATGATCATGTCGTTACTACATGTACATGTACAGTCGACTCCACTTATAACGAACTCTGATATAACGAACTCTGATATAACGAACTCTGATATAGCGAATTTCGTGATAATAGCGAACCGTTGTCCATGTCCCAGTTTGAACCTGTACAGTCCATTTCAAAACTATAGACGCGTATCTAGGCAAAAACCGTTATGTCAGCATCTATACCACATAAAATCTGTGATCACTTTGTGCATAAATTTTTCCAAATTGGGCCTCTGTTATCCAATCGTTTAGAAACTATGAGAGTAATTGTGGAGCGGTCCTGAGCAATGTTCCGAAAACTATTCTCAAAAAGGTCCAGCCAAATTTGAAATATTTCAAAAACCCTACGCGTCAATAGTTTTGAAATGGACTGTAGTGTAAGTGCATTTCCGTTATAACGAACTTTGGCTATAAAGAACTAATTTTCATGCACAATGGTGTTCGTTATATCAGGAGTCGACTGTACTCACTGTGGAGTTTGAATTTGAGGGACACCAGCATAGTCTGGCTTTGTTCAGATACAGTCGACTTTGCGTATAACGATACTCGGCGGGGGCATCAGAAAAGTGTCCTTATTTGCAAAGTGTCCTTATACCCGAAGTCGCATTATAATGCCGGTATTACAGTTAGATGGGATTTTGCTCTGGGCAAGGAAATTCTGTCGTTATTCGCGAATTGTTGTTATATCCGCAGTCGTTATTTTAAGTTGACCATAGGCCACTGTGGAGGAAGCTACCTCTGCTTATAGGAGATAACTCGGCAACACTGGCGTAGTGTCAGTGGTCAAGGCTGCACACATCACGGTGCATACCATGCATCCATTTCTCATCTCTCTCATTCATCTCTATGTGTGTGTGCGTGTGTGTGTGCGTGCTTGTGTGTGTGTGTGTGTGTGTGTGTGTGTGTGTGTGTGCTTGTGTGTGTGCTTGTGTGTGTGTGTGCTTGTGTGTGTGTGTGTGTGTGTGTGTGTGCTTGTGTGTGTGTGTGTGTGTGTGTGTGTGCGTATGTATGCATGTGCGTGTACGTGTGTGCGTGTGTGTAAGTGTGTATGCGTGCGTGTGTTTTGCGTTGAAACATGTTCATGTACACATCAAGTTATCCACCTCGCCGCATCCGTCTGTTTGTCTAACCCGTGTGCAGGGCTGGCCGATGCAATCGCCTCGTCTTGCTTGTCATCCTGTTGCTATGCGTTGTTGTGATAGCCGTGCCTACTGCTGTTATTCTCTCGAAGAAAGACGACGAAACTCCCACCAACCTACCCTCGGCTGTCAAGTCAGACAACATCAGAAAACATTTGCAGGTGTGTAGCTGTTGCTCGTGCTTTGTTGGTAATGGCTGGGGGGGGGGTTGCTGCTGTTGCTGCTGTCGCTGCTGTAGCCGCTTAGTGCTGCTGCTGCTGTTGTTGCTGTTGCTGTTGTAGCTGCTGCTGCGGCTGTTGCTGCTTCTGCTGCTGCTGCTGGTACTGCTGCTGCTGCTGCTGCTGTTGTTGCTGCTGCTGCTGCTGGTACTGCTGCTGCTGCTGTTGCTGCTGCTGTAGCTGCTACTGCAGCTGGTACTGCTGCTGTTGCAGTAGCTGTTGTTGTTGTTGCTGTTGCTGCTACTGCTGCTGCGGCTGTTGCTGCTTCTGCTGCTGCTGGTACTGCTGCTGCTGTTGTTGCTGCTTCTGCTGCTGCTGGTACTGCTACTGCTGTTGTTGCTGCTTCTTCTGCTGCAGCTGCTGCTGCTGGTACTGCTGCTGCTGCTGCTGGTACTGCTGCTGCTGTAGCTGCTACTGCAGCTGGTACTGCTACTGCTGCTGTTGCAGTAGCTGTTGTTGTTGTTGTTGTTGCTGTTGCTGCTACTGCTGCTGCTGTAGCTGCTGTTGCTGTTGCTGCAGCAGTTACTGCTGTTGCCGTAGCTGCTGCTGCTGTGGCTGCTGCTGCTGGTACTGCTGCTGCTGCTGTTGCTGTTGTTGCTGCTGCTGCTGTTGCTGCTGTATGTTGCTGCTGCTGCTGCTGTTGCTGCTGCTGTAGCTGCTGCTGCAGCTGTTGCTGCTGTAGCTGCTGCTGTTGCTGTTGCTGCGGCTGATGCTGCTGTTGCCACTGCTGTGGCTGCTGTTGTTGCTGCTGTTGCTGCTGCAACAGCAATGGAAGAAGTGACCACCGGTGGAGGTGTTGTCCCTGTACAAGTGTGTGTTTGTTGGGGGGGGGGGGGTGCATCGGTATGCATTTGTATGTTCACGTGTGTTTGTGTGGGTACGTGCGTGTGTGTACGTTATACAGATGTTTCAAGACATTGCCATCGCTAACAACAACTCCCTAACCGTACACAGGTGAGTTGCAGAGTATCTGCTGTGTTACCGTCCTGTACCGTCCTGCTCTCTTAAGTTAGCAGAGCATTCTTCCCAGCTGCCCCAATGTCTGGCCCTGATTGAGCTGGGCCGTGCACCAATCATGCTGTAGACTGCATGGTCACCAATCATGCTGTAGACTGCATGGCCAAACCTTTAGTCTAACCTAGGTAGGGGGAGCTTGGAGCGTGCTTGTGCTAATCACGCTATTGACTGCACGGTCAGCGTACACTGACACACATGTGCCCATGTGCCGCGCCCGCACGTGCACGCGCGGCACACACACACATCGTACTCGTGTTTGCCGCAGTTTTGTGTTTGCAATCGGAGTGCACGCCCCATGCGGTACGCGATGCGAGGATTCGCAATCGTTACACTGCGAATTTGCCTATCACAGTCAGCCTTGCGAGGAACGACCCTCGTTCGGGCATGAGAAAGTGTTGTTATATGCGAGTTTGTTGTTGTTTGGGAGGTTGAAAGTGTGCAGTCAAATGGTTCAAGGGTGTTACTATTCGTGAGTTGTTGTTATATCTCAGGTTGTTATATCGTAGGTTGTTATTCGCATAACGATACCATAAACTGTGGCCTTGGACGAACATTGTTCTTCTGCACGAGATGTGGAATGTGTTTGTTTTTACTGTTGCTGTGGTGACTGTGTGCTTTTGTCTTTTGTACTTCCATTGCTGATGCCACTGCTGGCACTTGCCTCTGACATCGCCATCGTCATGGTTACATCATGGTGACGTCGTCGCGGTTGTGCACGCTGCTCTGTTGTGACGCGCCACGTTGTCTTGCGCGCTCCGTCGTGCCATCTCGTCGCTGCGGCCAACGGGTATGGATGTGGACGGCGTGTGTGTGTGTGTGTGTGCCTGACTTCACTACCGCCGGGATAGCCGCTCTGTTCTGGACGGATACAACGAGTCAGCATGTGAGTAATGTGTGCACTGTCACAATCTACTTTACAGTGAAACTGGAAAGTCTAACGAGTCACAAAGTCTGTTTTAACGACCAATTTTTTTCGTTATTTGAAGAAACGTTATCCCGAACCCGGTTCGAGATGTCTGTGTAAAGATGCGCATACATCGATGCATGTTCTGGGCCACGGGTCAGGTAGCCATCGTTAAACTTTCTGCACGTTATCATGCCAGAGTTATAAAAACATTAAACTTTTTGGTCGTTAAACGTTCCAGTTTTTCAGTATCCAGTGAAACCTGTCAAGGCGACCACTCGGATAAGGCGACCACTCGGATAAGGCGACCACTCGGATAAGGCGACCACCTGTCCCAGACGACCGCTGCAGCCAGGACCAAGGGATGCTGTTTCCAGTCAATTGGCACTGGATAAGGAGACCGCCTGGTTACAGAGACCACCACTTTTTCTCGTCCCTTGAGCGGTGGTCGTCTTAGACAGGTTTCACTGTAGTCTCTTGAATACGACTCGTTCACATGATTGTAAACACGTTTTGAATAACGTTACACGCCTTTTTATTTTTTTTATTTTTATGAAAGTGCACATGCCTACATATAGAATGGAAGAGAAAAACAACAACATCAAGAGAACATAGGGGACTACAAAGGGCGTATAGGTGCTATTGAGCTGTGCCGGTGAGGTGAAGTGCGCTCCCCCGACCAATGGTCTCGGGATCAAGGCGCACATCACGCACCATGGGGGAAAGGGAGAGAAGAAAGACTGTGTGTGAAGAGTGAGAACCTGAGAGAGAGAGAGAGAGAGAGAGAGAGAGAGAGAGAGAGAGAGAGAGAGAGAGAGAGAGAGAGAGAGAGAGAGAGAGAGAGAGAGAGAGAGAGAGAGAGAGAGAGAGAGAGAGAGAGAGAGAGAGAGAGAGAGAGAGAGAGAGAGAGAGAGAGAGAGAGAGAGAGAAGAGAGGGGGGGGGGGGGGGTGAGTGAGTGAGTGCCAGATTGGTTCAGGAAACTAGCCTGGTTGTCAAGATGCACCATTGGCACATCATAATAAAAAGCTAGCCGTCCAACCATCAGAATCATAATAATTATACTTGTAGTAGTAGTAGTAGCAGGGGCCGATCCAGAGATCTCCACAGGGGGGTTCCAGTTTAGCCAAAACTGGATAGCTGATACATATACATGCACATGCATATGGTTTCCAGTAGGACATTTGCAAAACTCAGGGGGTTCCGCGGATGTGTGTGTGTGTGTGTGTGTGTGTGTGTGTGTGTGTGTGTGTGTGTGTGTGTGTGTGTGTGTGTGTGTGTGTGACGCTGCATATCCGCCTGCTGCATATCTGCCTCGCCTCTCTGCGTTCATGTGTGTCTGTACACCTGCTTTCCTTGCTACTCACCTGAATAGTCTACGTCACGGAAGTCTTGGAAGCCAAGGGATATCAAGTCACTCATCAATATTTTCAGGTTAGGAAACTTACGATGCGTGTGCGTGCGTGCATGTGCGTGAGCAGGAGGGGGGGGGGGGGGGGGGCATATTTCAGCCCTTGAGCTCTTCATTAAAAGCTTCTGGGGTAGTGTTGATGTTTTTCCCGGAGTACACTGACAGGTGTTCACTGGTGTTGTCTGTACACCCGTTTGGGTCTCCCTATTGTGTTGTAGTCACCCTGTTGTACGTGCTGCTGCTGCGCTGTCTTTTGTCCCTGTTGTACGTGCTGCTGCTGTGCTGTCTTTTGTCCCTGTTGTACGTGCTGTTGCTGCTGCTGTGCTGTCTTTTGTCCCTGTTGTACGTGCTGCTGCTGCGCTGTCTTTTGTCCCTGTTGTACGTGCTGCTGCTACTGTGCTGCTGCTGCTGTGCTGTCTTTTGTCCCGGTTGTATTCACTTCTTGCACCTGCCCTCGTTGGGATGCGTTGTATAAAAAAAAAGGAAATTATCGTGTCCGTTCCCGAAGGGAACTCACGACGGCCGCTAACACTCGGTAAACCCTAGCGACAGATGCAGCGCCTAACGGTGGGGGTGAGTGGATCCGTCTCACAGCCACTGGCACAAGTGCCGTTGTATTGGTCCGTCTGTCGTCTTGGCCTCCCGTCCCGTTCGGGATCCACTGGACCACGTTTGCTGACGAGTGCACCACGGTGACTTTTCTCACACGCCTCCTCCATATTCCCTTGCCTCGTCTTGTCTCTTTGTCATTCGTCCTGTTGTCTGGTAAAAGTCACTTCCGAAAATTCTCTCTTCCGTGTAGTCGGCAACACTAGCTCGTCCTCACCTGACCGGACACTGCGGTAATAAGGTTATCTGCATTGCCCAGCCTCAGCCTTTCTCTCCACTGGTCGGCGGTGGTCATTGTGTGTGTGCGTATGTATCATGTTTTAATACTTTGCATGCCTTTCTGAATGCGTGTGTGTCTTGATTACAGCTGCCACTGAATTACGAATCGGACGGTAGCAGTCTGAGTACCAGTTTCCAGGACATTGAGTTCAACTTTGTACAGGTGAGAGCAGCGTATTGCATAACTACCAACCATCCCGATTTGGCCGGGACCGTCCCGATATCCAGGGTGGTAATACACTGTATAGATAGGCACCCAAAAGTGCATTAAATTTTAGTTGCATGCCACCTCACAGCTACATTTGTATACATTCTCATACCTTGGTATGTCATTGTCCCCATCTTAGGTTTGCAAGGAAAAGAGAGAGTGAGACAGAGAGAGAGTGTGTGTGTGTGTGTGTGTGTGTGTATGTGTGTGTGTGCACATGTATGTGTATGTGTGTGTGTGTGTGTGTGTGTGTGTGTGTGTGTGTGTGTGTGTGTGTGTGTGTGTGTGTGTGCATGTGTGTGTGTGTGTGTGTGTGTGTGTGTGTGTGTGTGTGTGTGTGTGTGTGTGTGTGTGTGTGTGTGTGTGTGTGTGTGTGTGTGCATGTGTGTGTGTGTGTGTGTGTGTGTGTGTGTGTGTGTGTGTGTGTGCGTGTGTGTCCGTTTGTGTATGTGTATGCATGCGTGTATGCGTGTGTGTGTGTATGTGTGTATGTACAACTACACCATTCCTTGCTGACAGGGCACCCAGTTCAACGTACTCCGCTACTCCGGTCACGGCACCATTAACACTACTCTGTGGGTGAACACGGACGTGCAGGGAGGTTGTCGCAATGACACGTTCACCGACATCGCACCAGGACAGGTTGCACTTCTGACCTACGTCAGTCGTGATATCGCCAACTGCTCATTCTACGACCTTGTACGTACCACTGCTCTTGCTCTGCTGTACTACGAAGCAAACACTTGCTTAATAATAATAATAATAGTTACAGTTCGCATGTCACCCATGGAAGGATCCATGGGCTTAACGCATCTGTCAACGAAATCCAGGCAGAAGAGCCGCCAAAAGGCATCTCATTGTGTGCTTAGAAAGTACGGAATATACTGTTAAAGTCCACAAATATTCGATGCATACCAGTATCTACTTTCGGCTATTTTCGGCCTGGTAATTTTTGGCCTAAAATTGGTTGCGGCCAGAATTTTGTTTTGCCAGGTTCAGTGTGACAGTGTATACAGGCAGCAGCAGTACAGGCGTGGGTGTGTGTGTGTGGGTGTGCATCAATGCATTTGTTGACTACAGTGAAACCTGTCTAAGCCGACTGCTCAAGAGACCTTCAAAGTGTGGTCTCTGTAACCAGGTGGTCTCCTTATACACTGCCATTCGCCTGGAAATAGCATCCCTTGGTCCTGGCTGCAGTGGTCTTCTGGGACAGGTGGTCACCATATCCGAGTGGTCGCCTTGACAGGTTTTACTTTATATGTTCTAACAGGCGCTGAATGCATATCAACACGGGGCTGGTGGTATCATCATAGCTTACGGTCCTGCCTTTGCCTCGTCAGCACCATCCAGGACCCGAATTACGGGTGAGCTGAACTATCTGCTGAACCCATGCGCTCTGCCTCTGTCTCTCTCTCTGTCTGTCTCTGTCTGTCTGTCTATCTGTCTGTCTGTCTGTCTGTCTGTCTGTCTGTCTGTCTGTCTGTCTCTCTCTGTCTCTCTGTCTCTGTCTCTCTCTCTCTCTCTCTCTCTCTCTCTCTCTCTCTCTCTCTCTCTCTCTCTCTCTCTCTCTCTCTCTCTCTCTCTCTCTCTCTCTCTCTCTCTCATGCACGTTCACCCCCCCCCACCCCCATCACACACATACACGTGCACACACACACATACGCACGCACACACACACACACACACACACCCACACCCACACACACACACATCAGGGGTGGTGGACCCAGTCCGGTTGGTCAGGGCTTGGCCAACTCTTTGCCCACCAATGCCTGCTTACTGCTGAGGAGGTCATGTGTACCTGTCATATACGCAACGCATGGAAGACCATGGTTTGACCGGACCAATCAAGAACTGCTTCTGACGGTCCTGCACATGCACACGCGTTTCCACTGTTCTAGTGCAGTGCGTGGTGCAGGTAAGTCACTGTTAAGGACGGCAGTGCGCCGCACGCTGATCCAATATCCCAGTTACATGCTCCTTGTGTGATCCGTGACTGGCTCTTTCTTGTCATCTCAAGTATGACATCTAGGTCATTTTTCCTGTGTTGCTGTGTGTGTGTGTCCATGTGTGCATGTGTGTGTTGGTGTGTGTTGGTGTGTGTTTGCGTGCATGTGTGTATGTACGGGCTATATGACAGGTCCCAACATGCAGATGGACGAGATTATCCCGTTGCCGATGTTCAGTGTCTCATACGCTGCTGGGGAGCAGCTCAAACAGATGAACTCACAGGTAAATAGTTATAGAGTGCTTTCACATCTTTGTCATCAGACTAAAGTTGTGCAGAATGTGGTCATGG